CCAGAGTTCTGAAAAAAATTGATACTGACAATTTTTTGTCCAGTGTTCTTAGTGTTTTTTGGAGGAGAGGATTTTGGGACATCCTTACTCCTCCATTCTGCTGAAATCTTTCTGGGATAGAAACGTTGAGAATGAGTTCTGGGTAGGCAGGTATTGCTTTCTGGGAAGTTTTTATTATTATTCAGAAACAAGTGGATGAAAAAACCAGATTAGAATCAGCAGCACTTCCCACCCCTGCAGTGCCACCGCTCTTCCTTCTGAGCTCCTTCTCCATTTATCTATTTTGTACTTCCCTCATTTTGGTGTTTTTGGTATCTTAGCTCTGGCTCTCCCTAGGCCACCCTACACCTAATACAGTCTGTGTATTCGCCACTGACAAGATTCTTGTAGAAATGTTCATGTGGAGAGAGGGGAGCTGATTTCCTTCTCAGGAGTCAGACTGTTTTAACACTGTCTCACTTTATTGTCTTTTCTGTTGGCTCTTGATTGGTTTCCTGGTAATGAATCATTACAATATGGTGGCTTAAAAACAACAGAAATGAGTTCTTTCACAGTTCTGAAGGCTAGAAGTCTTGAATCAGGGTGTAGGTAGGGCTTGTTCCTTCTGGTGGCTCTGAGGCAGAAACTGTCTCAGGCCCCTATTTTCACCACTGGTGGTTGCTGGCACCCCTTGGCGTTCCTTGGCATATGATGCATCACTTGAGTCTCTCCCTCTCTCTTTACAGGGCATTCTCTTCTGTGTCTCCAATATGAACTTATTGGATTTAAGGCCTACTCTACTATAGTATAACCCCCATCTTAACTAATTATATATGCAAAGACCCTATTTCCAAGCAAGGTCACATTCTGAGGTCCTAGGTGGACATGAATTTTGGGAGGCTTTTTTCCAGTCTAGTACAGCCCCATATATATATATTTACATGGCCTAGGATCTTCTAGATTTTATAACAGTTTTTCCCCATTAGCTTTGTATTGATGGCCAGGAATAGTTGAATGCCACTTGCCAAGTGGGTTATTTGACTAAGTAGTCCTTTCAGATCATGCATATAGTAAATGTAAACTTGTTCTAGAATTACGCATCCTTGTTCATGTCATTTATCCCAGCCATCATTGCTTGCTTGCCAGCTTCCTATCCATAACAAAGTATCTCTAATCCTATTGTGACTCAATTTTGTATTAAGCCTCAGTGAGGAATCCTTTCAGAATGTCATTAAAATGGTATCTACTGACACCCCTTTGCAGACAAGGGACAACATAAAAGGTAGAAGATATTCCTGCTTTCCTAGAGCTTATGAATGAGGAAAATCGACCAGAGAGGTGAACTAACAACCCCAGGTGACAGCAGAGGGATAGATGACTCCAGCACTTTTTGAGCACTCCCTATGTGCCAGGCATATATTTCCTCATTTAATTTTCACAGCAACTCTATATTCCCATTTGACAGTTGAAAATTGAGATTTGGAGAGACAGAACTACATCCCAAGGTCACAGAGTTAAAAAATGGTGGTGCTGGCATTCAGATCCAGAACCCATGCTTTTAACCACTCCACTTTGCAGAGTTTGTGTTCTTTGTACCATCCCTCGCTGCATAAAAATGGCTTGACAACCTCAAGAAAAGTTGATTTAGGTTAAAAGGTTCAGGGGTACCCCTCTGAGTGATCACACTTAATAGAGACAATGCGTATCATCCCACACAGGATGCCCTTTGGCTCATCTCAGGATTTACCTGTGTATCCCAGTGAGCACCTTCCATGAAGAGGCCATGGATGTAAGCCCCTTCCCGAGGAGGGCTCCTGACTTCCTCTCTATTCTTCTTTGTCACATCAAATTGCAGGGCCATCTGGTCTAGTGGCCACTCATTCTGTGGGCCATGGATTGCATGATGGCGGTCAGGAAGGACTGGGGGTTGAAGAAGCCTATCAGCCACACAGTGAAGGGCATCACAAAGTCTCCTATCCAAGCCTCCAGTTCCTTGATTCAGTTGAGGAGGTTCAAAAACCAGGCTGCCAGGCCTGCTGTGGAAGGGTAGGCTCGCCTGGTCCAGGGCTCTGGCACTGTGTCTAGGTACAGGGCATTCTGTAAGTTCTCCATGTCACCGGTCATAGTCAGCTCCCCCTGAAGACAAAGAGCAAGAGAGAAAGAGTGAGGGGGCAGCAAGTCCCCAGAAACAGTTGGCCTTGGGGACCTCTGGCTCACGGCATGCAGGCAGACAGGAGATGACTCTAGGAGTGGTGACACGGTGACTTTCATGTTTAGTACTTGATTTGAAAGGTTTGTTTCATAAAGGCTAGTTCTTTAAAACTCTCCCTGCCCTAGTGATCAGAGTCTCCATCTATCTACTGACAGTAGTTAAGTTCCACTGGGGACCTCAGACCACCTGTGGGTTCCATGCTGGTTCATCCCTACCCTAGAGCTGAAGTTCCACAACTCTCCGCCAGACTTTGCAGCAGCCCTGCAGGCTTTTACTTACAGCTTAGAAGAAGCACAAGAAATCGATGCCTATGAGATCTGTATCCCCCAAATCAAGGGTTTCCTTGAAAAATCAAGCTTAGATACATAGTCAACTTTAAGGGGCCCTCTTTGAATTGATAGATGAAATTGCTACAAGAAAGAAAGGTGTTCATCAAGAAGCATCTTTAAACTTTGTAACTGGTTATGCCAAGCATCTCTGGCAATTTGTTGATGACCCCATTTCTATTGCAGTGGTTTCTGCACAGGGCTTAGGGTACCCAACAAGACCTGTTATGAACTAAGTGTTTGCATTCTTCTCCCCACTGCCCAATTCATACGTTGAAATCCTAACCCCCTAAGTGTGATGGTATTAAGAGGTGGGGATTCTGGGAGGTGCTTAGATCATGAGGTGGAACTCTTGTGAATGGGATTAGAGACTCCGGAGAGCTCCCTTGGTCGGCCTTGTGAAGGCACAGTAAGAAGATGGCCATCTATGATCCAGGAAGTGGGCTCTCACCACACTATAACCGCTGCCAGTGCCTTGATCCTGTACTTCCTAGCCTCCAGAGCTGTGAGAAATACATTTCTACTGTTAATAAGACACCCAGTCTCTGTTATTTTGTTATAGCAGCCCAGATAAACTAAGACAGCTTGGCCACCCATTAAGTGCTGACTGCCAGAAGGTGAGAGGTGTTTCTGGGGCCAGGAGTCTCCTTGCCTGTGGGATGGGAGTTTGCACCATGTAATTCTAGGTCCAACATTTTCTCTTCACTCTTGGAACTGTTAAAGAGAGTTGCACATGTCCTTTAAAAGATGAACATACTTCAGGTCCTAAATGACAGCTAGAAACTAACCCTCTGACCCCTGATTTATAGTAAATGGGCTAATGACTTCTATATGAACTTTCTGGGACAGCCATTTCAAGATTCAGTAGGAGGTACAAGTATCCTGTATCTGCCGCCAAGGTTTATCATTTTAACCACACTAAAATTAGGTGAACAGAAGCTGCTTCTGGTAGACTTCCTTAAGGGTCTGCTGAAATGAATGTTGTTATTGGGATAAAATAGGAAAATTGTTCTGTTTATTTGGAACCTCCACTTCAGAGGAGGCTTCTGAAGAGAGGCTGTAAAATAATACTTGTGTATTTGAGCTGAAATCAAGCTTCTGAGACAATACGGTCTTCCTCATGCCTGTAGTTGTGTGATAATTCATTATTATATGCAATTTGTCACTTATGTAATAATAAAGTTTCCCTAAAAATAGCTGATTATTTAATAAAATAAGATTAAATATAAAGATCCAGTTTATTGTAAAGGAAAAAAATTGATCAACAAACCTTTTCTTTTGTGAGGCCCCATCTATGTATCTTTTTCTTGACTTACTGCATTATCTAGGATCTTATTAACAGTGATGAATAAAAGTGCTAAGGGTGGAAATACTTGCCTAGTTTCTAAACTTAGAGGGAAAACATTGTCTTTCACCAGTAAATATGATGTTAATTTTTTCTTAGATGCCCTTTATTGGGTTGAGGAAAATCCCTTTTATTCTTATTTTTCTGATATTTTAAAATCAAGAATTAGTGTTAAATTTGTCACATGATTTTTTTTTGCATTTACACAGATCATTTGGTTGTCTTATTTAATACATTAATATAGTGAACTTCATTGATTTTTGAATGTTCAAACCAACTTTGCATTCCTGGGATGAGCCCTATGTGACTGTGATGTATTATCTTATATTTCATGATTTGATTTACTAACATCTTGGTAAGGATTTCTGCATCTGTGTTTATTTACAAGAACTGTTTACCTCTTTCTCATAATGTCTTTGGCTTTGGTATGAAGTTAATTCTGGCCTCATAAAATTTTTTGAAAAGCATTCCCTCTGCTTTCTATTTAAAGTAAACTTTATTTTGAGATAACTATGGACACACATGCACTTTTAGAAATACAAGCTCTTGTGTACCCTTTACCCAGTTTCCCCCAATGGTAACAGTTTTCAAAACTGTAGTATAATATCACAGACAGTATACCGATATTGGTACAGTCAAGATACAGAACATTTCCATCACTACAAAGACCCGTTGTTGCCTGTTTTATAGCCACACCCACTTCCCTTCTGTCCCCACTCTTTCCCTAACCTCTAGTAACCACTGACTGTAAGCTTGTCATTTGAGGAATGTTATATACATGGAATAATTTATAAAACGTTTAACCTTCTAGGATTAGCTTTACATTCTGCATACCTTTCTGGACGTTCATCCAGGGTTTTGCATGTACTGAATAGTTCATTCCTCTTTATTGCTGAATAGTGGTCCATGATATGTGTGGTAGGTAGAATAATAACCCCTCCAGAGATAGCTATATCCTCATCCCTAGAACTTGTGACCTTGCAAGACCGAAGGGATTTTGTAGCTGTGATTAAGTTGGGAGTTTAAAAAAGGATGATTATCCTAGGTTATCAGGTTGGCCTAATATAATCACAAAGATCCTTAGAGGAAAGAGGCAGGCAGGAGGATCAGAGTCAAAGAGAGACTGCTGCACTGCTACTCTTAAAGATGGAGAAAAGGGCCATGAGTCAAGAAATACAGCAGCCTCTAGAAGGTGGGAAAGGCAAGCCAATGGACACTTCCCCATGGCCTGCAGAATAAATACAACTCTGCCCAGATCTTGATTTTAGCCACCACATGAGACCCACTTCAGACTTCTGACCTCCAAAACTGTCAGATAAATCATTTTAAGCCATCAGGTTTATAGTAACTTATTACAGCAGCAGTAGGAAATTAATAATAGAATATAGATGTACCACAGTTTAACCATGCACTGGTTGAAGACCATCTGGGTTGTTTCTAGGGGGTTTGGCTATTATGAATAAAACTGCTGTAAACACTTGTGTACAGATTTTTATGTGAAAATAAGTTTTCATTTCACTGGGATAAAGACCCAGAAGTGTAACTGATAGGTTGTATGTAGTTGCATGTTTAATTTTTAAAGAAACTGCCTGTTTTCCAGACTGACAGTACCATTTTACATTCTCACCTGCAATGTGTGAGTGACTCATTTCATTCATATCCTTGTCAGCATTTGAAGTTGTCATTATTTTTTTAGTTATTATGATTGGTGTGCAGTGGTATCTTGTGATTTTATTTTTCATTTCCTGATGACTATCTTTCATGTACTTATTTTCCAACTGTATATTCTCTTCATATCTTTTGATAAGAAATGTCTTCATATCTTTTGCCTATTTTCTAATTTTCTTCAAACCATTGACTAATAAGAGTTAGTTACATATTCTATATATTAGTCTTTTTTATAGATATGTGGTTTGCAAATACTTTTACCCAGTCCATAGCTTGTCTTTTCATTCTCTTAAAAGGGTCTTTTCTAGAGCAAAGATTTTAAATTTTGATGAAGTCCAATTAATCAGTTTTTCATTTTATGGCTTGTGTTTTTGATGTCAAATCTAAGTTTGCCTATTTTCCTATTCCTAGAGCTTGAATATTTTCTTCTGATTTTTTTTCTAGAAGATTTCTAGTTGTAAGTTTTACACTTAAATTCTTTGTCTATTTTGAGTTAATTTTTTATAAGATGTGAAATTCAGCTTGAGGTTAATATTTTTGCCTATTGTGTCAAATTATTCTAGCACTGTTTGTTTAAAAGGCTCTCTTTCCTCCAATGAGTTGCTTTTGCATCTTTTTCAGAAATCAGGATATTTGGGAAGGTTTATCTACAGCTTCTTTGTTTTGTGTGTCTGTCCGTCCACCGATGCCACGCAGTCTTGATTACTGTAACTGTATGATAAATTATAAAATTAGGTAAACTGCTTCCTCCCGCTTTAGTCTTTTTTTCAAAATTATTTTCACTCTTCCAGTTCTTTTGCTTTGTCACATACATTTTAGAATAATAACTGTCGTATCTACAAAAGATTCTTGCTGGGATTTTGATGGGAACTGCATTAAACTGTATCAGTTTGCATAGAATTGACACTAACTATGTTGAGTCTTATAATCCATTGACACAGTAGGGTTCTCCATTTATTTATATATTCTTTAATTTTTTTCAGTGTTTTGTAATTTTCAGATACAAGTCCTGTACATGTTTTGTTAGATTTGCACTTAGTTAATTCATTTTTTGAGCAGTTATAAATGGCACTATATTTTTAATTTTGGCGTCCATGTTTTTATTGCTTGTATGTAGAAATATGATTAATTTTTGTGTTTATCTTGTATCCTGATGCCTTCCTAATTTACTTATTAGTTCTAGGAGTGCTTTTGTAGACTTCTTTTGATTTTCTATGTAGACAACCATGTTATCTGCTAATAGGGACAATTTTATTTCTTCCTTTCCCATCTGGATATATTTTATTTCCTTTTTTTCCCTATTGTACTAGCTACAACTTCTAGCACTATGTTGAATAAGACTGGTGAGAGCAGACATCCTTGCCTTATTCTTGATCTTAGGGGAAGAACATTTAACCTTTTGCCATTAAGTATAATGTTAGCTATAGTGTAATATATATAGTATAATTATATATATTATATAATTATGTGTTGCATAATTAATATAACATATATGATAGTGTAATTGAGGATGCTTGTTACTGAGTTGAGAATGTCTTCCTCAATTCCTGTTTTTCTGAGAGTTTTGTCATGAATGGGTGTTGAA